AGAGAAAACGAGTGCATGGTCAGGCCTCGGCCCAAGAGTGACCACCTTCATTGATCATGGTATCTCCCTGCCAGTAGTATGAAGTTGTGCAGCTCAGAGACAGGAGCTCTCTACACAGAACAGCGTGTTAACTGCGGTGGCTAGAATGCCTAGTATATTATTTATTATTATTCTTATATACATTAAGTATTATAACTGCTGACTAATACAGCACCAAACTGTTTTGTTCTAAAAGCGGATAAAAGATTATATTTTACTTTATGTAACGTAAATTTATATTTCCCATAACGCACTTGCGGTATGACGACATTTAGCAGCAAGAACCTGAATCACAGTTGTTCTATTTTATCTCCAACACAATGAACAACAGTCCAACAACAAGTTCAAGTTGAGCCAAAGCTGAATCAAACTGCAATCAGACAGAGGCTGTTTGATCCACATTTTAAAATACATTTAAAAACACACAAATTCTACTTTCTATCCGACGCTTTACAACCACTTACTGTTTCTTGTCTCCCGGGCAACGGACCGTCATGCTACTGCCACCTACTGGTCCGGAGGGGAATCAGGTTTTAACAATAAAGTTCAACAGCAACACAAACTGCAGCCTCTAAAATGATCATACAGTTAAATTAACACATCTCTAAAACTGTTTTAACACAAACTGAACATTATAACCTTATTCCAACCTTTTGTTAGTACAGTATTGTTGTATTAGACTGCATTTTCTCAGCTTTTATTGGTCAATTTAAAACATTTCTGGTTGACTCCAACTCCAAAATAATTCTCCAGCTACATTAATATTATGTGTAATCTGTGCAATGTAACTTACACAACTAAATAATGTGTTTTTTTAATCATTTGTTTTAATGACGACCGACTGGGCTGCAGTGGCTCCTACTGGGTTGTTTAGATAACAGCGGCTCTATGAAGCATATTTCCCGTCCAATTAACTAAAAAAACTTTATTAAAAGTACTCAAATTCTCTTGAAATACATCATTATTGTCCGTATACGACATATACGATTAAGTATTAAGTTTTCCTAAACAGGTAAAAGTGCAGCCAGGCCCTTAATGTGACATTAACTACTGGAAAAAACAAACGGGATGCGGCCCCATTGAGCTTTTATCTGTAATTAAAATGCAACTGAGCCAAAACACTTAAAATACTCGATAATAAAGTGCAAATTACTCATTTAAATATATTTGCACAAGCTCTTCCACTTCCAACTTAACGCCAAATTAACACCTGAGGCTAAAAACAAGTGGGCCACCACCTCCAAACTACCCTCAAACTCCTATAAAAACTCTGTTTTGTTGACACGAGAGACATAACATGACAAAAAAAAGATATTAATTTGTTAATTAACAAACCCTAAAGACATCCTGACGCCCAAAACATATCTTTTAATCAAGATAAAAGTACATCTCCAAGTCCTTGTTAGTCCATCATCGTGACGTACAGGTTGTGTTATGCAAATGAGAGGTTGAGTAATGTATGAAAATGTATCTTGAAACAAAATACCCCTAAAATAAATGGATTAAAATTAAAATACTGGATAGTACTAATGATTTTTTTTTTTAAATTAATGATTCATCTGATCATTTTCTCAATTAATTGATTAGTTGTTTGGTCCACTCACACTTCGGAGGTTGAAATGAGAGAATTTGGACATGAATCAAAACTATTAATCAATTATCGAACTGGTTCCTGTTGAATTGAACAGTTGACAAATAATCGATTAATTTACTTTTGTCCACAACCCAAAACTATTTACTTTATGGTCATAGAGGACTTAGTGTTGCCGTGAGGTATTAGTAGTAATATTACTTTCCCCAGTATCTAGAAGTGTAACTTATTACTAATACATTTCAGTAATAATATTAAAGTAACCTCCCCAAAAAATAATTAGTTACAACATTACTTTTGTTGGCACTCTTTACTGATTTTAAATCCAACAATCAAATCATATGCTTGGATTAATTCTTGTAATTGTGGAGGAAACTAGCTTGGAAGATGTAAACATTAACATTACTTTCATTTTTAACAAACTAAACTCGATTTAATTGTCTTAAGTCTGAATCTTGTTGAGAAAGGGGCCAATTTTGTGGGAGCAGAATAGTAATATAACTAGTTATTGTAACTAATTACTGTCAGCAGGGAGGAATAAGTAAAGTCATAATATTACTTTTGAAAATAATAATAAATTAAATTTTTTGAGTAACGATCACTGTAAACTGCAGAGGACTAAAGAAACCAGAAAATATTCACATTTAAGAAGCTGAACATTTTTTCTTTGGACAAAAGTATCAAAACAATCAATCAATCTTAAAATGTGTCTTGATCCAAGTTGTTTGTATTTTGCCTGCACTTGTATATATATTATGAATATGAACACAACAAATGATTACATCATCTGCAGGTACCGTGGGAGGCCCGGCCCACATTGGCGCCCGGCCTGCACAACCAGATTGTTGTATTCAGCCACCGCCTTCTCTACCTGCAGGACTCTGACCTACACCCCTTTCTGCCTCACAAAGTCCAGAGTAGAGGAGGGAAACTGAGGAGCATGTTTACATACTGTAGTTACCACAGCGTTTGATATTGTTGATTGTGTTTGCTCGCTGTCCTGTTGTTCTTCCATCTTATGTTAAGTGTTAGAGGACCACAATGGAAAGAAGCTGCCTTTATGTTTTATTTTATTCATATTATATATTTATGTGTGTAATCTGTTACAGTGTTATATGTTGTTTTTATTTCATTTCGATCAAATACTTTAATATCTTCTTCCTCCTGCTCCCGCATAAAGACCTAGTCGACAGTAAAACTATAAACCTTTACCCCACATACAATAATCAGACATCATCAAACTCAGTGGTAATGTTTACTACATTTATTTTTGGGAAATAATTAAAACCAACATCATATCAAAAACATAACCAATGGCAGTTTTAAGCATCAAAATATCAGTCGAGAAATTTAAAAACACTAGAAACGTTTGTTCTTATCACCACAAGACAACAAGCAGTTTGTTTTCCAAACTTTACGTTGATAAAAGTTCCCCATTGCACAGAAATGGGCCGCCAATAACATTTAGTCATCACATGCACAGCAGCAGAAAACTTCACACAACACTAATGTAAAGAGATTTTAACACAGCAGTTCCAAGACAATAAATTCAAATGTTCAACTCAGTGCAGTACATTACACATACAGGCAGTGGCAGGTCTGAAGTAAACACTGATAATCAATAATGTAGTGAGATGTTTTTATCCCTGAGATTCCCAAGCAAACACAGCAAGTTTAATTCCAGGCTGAGACATCCAAACATGTGAAAAACTTTATACAAACTATAAATTACTGACATTTTGGAGAAATTATGCATTTATTAAACATTAAGCAGCACCTTGTTACCGTTTTCGAAAAATAGACAGATGTCATCTTGAAAAGGTCCAGTGTGTAAGATTCAGGAGACAAGTAATGGAATATAATATCTATAGGTATGTTTCCATTAGTGTACAATCACCTGACAATAATTCTCGTGGTTTCATTACCTTAGAATGAGCTATTTTACCTACAGAGACACAGAGAGAGAGGGTCCTCTTCTATGGCGATCGCCATGTTGAACTGCCATGTTTCCACAGAAGCCCAGATAAACCCAATGGCTATGGCTATGGCAGTGTAGGTTTCTCCTACACACTTGGAAGGGGAAGTAATCTGTAAATCCTACACACTGTTCCTTTAAATGAACGACTGTTGTACTGAACTGTTGGCTGTAGCTTGATGTGTAAAACCTAAAAATGAACACATGAAAGAACTCTTCAGTCCACATGAATGAGACACATCCAGGTCTTACGAGCGAATGCCAAAACAATTTAGGAATTCACATATTTTTTTGTATAATCCCATCAATGGCTGTAAAAACTGAGAACCCTCCTCTGAAAAAGACCAGAGTTTAACACCTAAAACTGTGCTGCGACATCTTTGACCAATAAGTTAATGTTTGAGCTGCCCTGTCAAATCACTTCCTAGACTTAAAAAACAACAGAATAATCAAGAATGAATTCCTCACTGAGTAGTATTCACCTTCACAAACTTGATGTTGTCTTGAAATGTGATTGACAATCTCATAAAACTTACATTCTCCCACAATGATAAATACCTCTCATTTTAAAGCTGCAGGTAACTTTTATAAAAATAACTTTTTGTCATCATGGCTGAAATGTTCACTATATCCTGACAGTAGTACATGAGACAGGTTCCTCTGGCTCGATCCAACGCTCCTAATGGTATTTGCAAGAATCCACGGGGAGATACGAAGACGCCTTGGGTTGGAAACTTTAAGTTAGTTGACTGTTGAGTCTCATTGTCAGAGTCCCAAATGTCTGTATTTGACACCCTGGGAATGAAACTCAACAATCAACAATCTTTCTCTGCTCTGGTTGGTTGTTTTCGTTCATTTGCCCGGTGGATTCTTGCATTCAGATGAACCAGATTTTTTCACAAATCATCTATCTCATGTATTTCTGTCAGGATACAGTGAAACTTTCAGCAAAAATGTCAGCTAATTATTTTCATAAAAATGACCTACTGTAGCTTTAATGAAAACTGCAATTTTGACAATTTCATCTTCTAATTTGAATTTAAAGTTGAAGCTGTCATAATATACGGTGGGCGCTTTCTAAATGAGGGGTAGACTAAAAGAAAACCTGTTAAACTCCGCCCTCCCGCAGCACCCAAACTTTAAATATCCCACTGGTTTAGGCAGTAACCACCTACTGCATACTCACTGTACTGCTTTTACTTTAAATAGTCACAGATAGTCAAACATGACTGATAATGATGACATGCTGACACTCAACTAGTCTGATGACATAATTTCCCAGAAGTCGCTGGGCAGAACATAAATTTGGATTCAACTTTAATGGTTCAACCAATTCAATGATTTACTGAAGTCTGTACCAGCGGGACTTTTACTCTACCGAGACCTTCCAGTGATATCATTCAAAGAACATCACCAACAACCTTTGATTTGTGAATCCCACGTCGATTCAGAGAAGTTGAGTTTGAACTTTGATGACACCTGCGATGGTGCTACACCTTATATCCCTCCATCAGGACAGGAAGGTCATGAGTTGTGGATGTAGTGAAGTTCCCCCACCCCCACAATAACTCCTCTGTCCAGGTCTCCATAGGTGTGCCAGCAGCTAATCACATTGCCCGCTGCCGGAGAATCCCTCCCTCGCTATTTTTACCTTCTGTTGTGTCGCTGTTTCCTGGCAGCAAGGGAGTGAGCTCTGAAAATAAATACAACATTTTACACTTTTACTGAATTATTATTGGGGGTTTTTGAGATTTGAGAGTAATTTTGTCTATTTTTAGGATTGAAGATAAGAAAGTCTTCCTATTGGCACAAAACGGCCAAAACGATTTCTTCCCTTGTTGCTCCAACTTCCAAAAAATTTGATAAAAGTTAAAATATTATTGTCCTGCTTTTGCTGGGGACCCCCTACAACCCACTCAGTGACCCCTGTTTGAAAACTACTGCAAGTCAATTCAAGTATATTTTAAGGTTGTCAAAAGTATTGATACTTTTCTAATACCAAGTGTTTAAAATGATAGCATACTATTATTCGACTGAATCGAAAGTACAGAAGCTATAAAAAAACAGATTTACAATCAGACTTTCAACCCAAGACTGCACAGATAAAACAATGGGGAAGAAAATCAACTGATCTTCATTATGTCACTGAGACCTTTCTGTATCAGCACTGTGGGGAACAGCTAGTTTGGCTCTGTCCATTGGTGACAAAATCCACATACCAGCCTGTGTAAAGGATATTTCATTGTATTTAGGATATTAGATAATGCCCATTCTCAGAGTCAAAAACAAGAAGTAAATCAGAAAGTGAAACACTCTTGTTTGTATTCTGCGAAATGAAATGCATTATCAGCAACTCCAGCCCACAGCAGGTTTTGTGGTCTTGAGTTAATTGTCACTATCGCTCTTTGTTGGCCTACAAACCTCCACCTCTAACTCTGTTTCGTGTCATTGCTCACTCTTCCCTCTATATTTCATTAAAACAACAAGGTCAAATAATACTGACACACAAGCAACAAGTATTATAATAAAATAAAATATAAGATACAAATATAATAGAAATCTGCAATATAACAAATATATACAATATAGTTAAAACTTTAAAAAGTAATAAACTAAAGATGGTTAAACTGAATTTAGATGATCACTCTGCACTGAGAAGGATGTGCATGATTGTCCATGTGTATATTTGTGTCCTGTCTCAAACTTGAATTAAATTATATAATGTGTAATACATAAAGACAGAACAATGCTAAACTATAGTAATGAATCTCCTAATTTTAATTCTAATCATTCACAGAGAACAGTGAGTCCCTCTCTCTACTCACCTTTCATCTCGGTCTCCATCTTGCTGCCGTTATCAGCCGCTGAGTTTGGACGGTTGCAGCTGTTATTTGCTCCAGCGTTTGTCAGCGTGGGGCTGCTGGCAGAGTCAGAGTCAGTCGTTTTTACTTGATCTTGTTTCCCTGCGGCACCGGCAAGTTTATTCCCGTCAACACTGTCCATCTTCACCAGACAGAGAGTCTGCAGCAGACCTATGGCGTCAAAGTTTTCTCCGGAGCAGTCACCTCGTTTCCTCAACCACTCCAACACCTAACATCAGAAATAAAAACATATAATCTGGTTAAGTTTCTAAAGTTTCTACTCCCTTTATAACACACTCTGTCCTATTGCGCTGCATCATGGACACTACTTATTTTGATGGCACTATATAGAGCATCAATTTCACACTCAAACAAACTGGAGAACAGTAAATGTAGTTCACTATGAAGTAAGAGTGACATCAGACATAAACAGCGGCACACAAACACACCTTGATGTACTTGTAGGACTTCAGTTCGCTGACATTCTCCTCCAGGAAGAGCAGATACAGAGAGAGATCATCCCATTTGCCAGCGGGGGAGGGCAGTACACCCACGGTGGGCAGTGACTGGTAGGTTTCCAGGAAGTGGGCGTATCCATGGCACAAGAGGGGACGGAGACTGGCGTAGATCACCACAGGAACCAGTGAGATGAACACGACCAAGTTCACAAGGCTGGAAACAGTAAAACAAACAGACTGACCCTCCCAACCTATATTGGACGAACTGCACATTAAGCTCAGTCAGTTTCTATCATAACCAAACGGTGTGCTGCATAGACAAATACCTCAGCAGAGAGAAGACTCCCACAGCGATGAGCTTGCACTGCACCTTGTCGGGGACGCTCGGGTCGGAGGCGAGCAGGCCGACACGCAGCGAGCAGCCAAACTCGTCCGTGACAGAGGCCAGGCGGAGGTAGTAGCCCAGGTAGACGCAGGCACACACCAAGGTGATCAGAGTGAGGCCGCGACACAGCAGGTAGTAAAACAGCAGCACCCGCGAGCAACGCTTAGTCATCAGAAACTTCTCCACCAGCGGGTAATTGAAACAGCCCTCGGTAGGGTCGCTGGACGAGAGAATACAGGAGTAGAGGGCAGAAGAACAGTGAATTCATTGATGAGCTAAATAACTATGCCAAGATAATAATACATGTATCTTCAAAATGAGGCAAAAGTAAATATCATCTTCTTCAGAAGTCCCTGCAAATCATTAACACATTTATCACCTTGTCTTAAAGTCTAACTTCGGTTCCCTCTTGGAGTGTAATTTTGAATGCTAAAATGTGAGATTAATCATTTTCTTATTCTAATTAGTTCAAATCAATTACAAATGAATATAAACTGAAATGTTACACACTGGATCTTTAAATGTTGAATGTTGCACCTATATAAGGTGACTCAAACATGCCAGTGTTCTGTAAAAGCTGCTGGCACGGATACTGGCACAGCTGGTTTTACTTAAACACATATTAATAATAGACTAAAGCTATTAAGGCTGTGCCAGCGGTGTCCATAAAATACGTAGGACGTTTTAAGAGGCATAAGAGTGCGCTTCTCTCAACAGGTTGGAGTGAGCCCTGAGTTGATGTAGAGATAACGTCTGTCTGAGTTGATGTTAGGGGTCATGCTGTACCTGTCAGAGGTGAGCAGTCCTGAGGTGGCCATGCGTTTGGCCAGAGTGACAGCACGGTTATAACACCGGTCCAACTCCTCCATGATGAAGCTGAGGTCCGACTGCAGGAGGGGCGCCGCAGAAAATCTCCAGAACAACGCCGGGGTGTACATCATCACCGCCACCAGCAACAAAATGTAGGGAAAGAACTGGAGAGAGGAGACAGGACAGGGGTGTTCAACAAACATGAACAAATGAACAAATATTTAGATAAAATTCCTTCTCACACGCTGGTTGATTACTGTTCTAGCTGACAGACACTATCTAAAGATATTTAGTATAAATATGGGGTACGTTCCAAATACCCATACTACCGTACCATTTAGTACTCCAGAAAAAGATTCAGCATGTCCCAGTATAAAGTATGTCAATATGTCAACTACACCCGGATGTCCGACTGCATCTGGTCACATTTGGTAGCGGACCAGCCCTTATAATAATGCAGTAGTAATTGTATTTTATACGTAGCAATGTACTTGTGCCTGATAAAGAAAAACAGAGACGCTTCATATAGCAAATAGTATCAACTCTGATATCCTCTCATTCAATAAAATGTGACATGCAGAGTTTAACTTGGATACTACAGAGGTTTGGGGGGCAGCAACACTAAAGAAGTGTCACTAAAGAACATTTTAATGTGCTATGTGCTCACGCTGCTAGTGACGGTACAGTGATCAATATAAAAATGTAAAGAGACACACACCCATTAGTGCTTAGCGTTAGCCAACAACATCTTACTACAGATATTGTCAACCACACCCTACAAACACAAACAAAAGCATTTTACCTTCTACTTTTAATTAAATACACTGACTCCTTACTCTTTAAAGAATCCTGTAAAGTCTTAAATTTTGCTGTTAAATGTTTTGTAAATTACTGTCAGACTTTTTATTATTTCCACGCAGCATAACGGCCCACTAGAAGGATTTTCACTTTCATTTATACCTATATTAAGACTGCCTGATATGATGACTCATTAAAACACTGTCTGTTCCAACAGTAACAGTCTGAACACGCATTATTGTAGAAGGTGTGTTACAAAGCATTTTCCCATTTGGTATGTGTGTGGCCAAGTTTCAGTCATCTAATGTCTAATTACACATTTGGATATTTTAACTCTGTGTGTGCGTGTGTGTTTACCTTGTGCAGCCACAGAGGTAGAGTGTGTGTATGTACGGCTGCCCAGCAGTATGAGTCCACATAAGCTGCCTGCCTCCAGGAGAAGTTAGAAGGAGCAAAACAGCTGATCTGAGCACCTGAGAGAAACAGAGAGACAGAAAGTGAAAGAGTTAACAATTAAATAGATTTTTATTATTTTAATATTTTAAAGACTGAAAAACAAATCAGCCAGTTGACTGGTTTGCACTGACGCTGCTCTCAAACCTACAATGGCAGGATTATAATCAGTTTGAAGCTTTCAAGGTTATGTAAGGTCAGGTTGTTCACAGTAAGAGCAGCTTTTATTAGCCTCCTTCCTGTAATAAGTCTAGACAAGGTTCCCACTATTTCCAGCACATTTTCATTCATTTTCATTTTTTTTCTTGATGATCAAGCTGCTATAACCTCTGTAGAAGTCTGATTTAAACTTACAGCAATTTGCAAATCACAGGAAGCTGCATTTATTATATAAAAGTAAAATGTGTGCAACAGTTCTGTCATGGTCTACGAGTCCTGTTCTCCAGATTTCTCACTGCTGCAGTATCTGTGAAAATAATCGTAATATGATCTGCTTTGTCTTCCTGACATTGTGTCACTGTAATTAAAGGACAAGTGTTACAGAAACATTTCAGTACACAGGCACAACCTTACGTCTACCACAACCTCCTCTTACGGTTGTTTATTTTTTTCTTGGTCTTGTTTCAACGCTAGACATCTGGCATTTTAAGATAATCATCATCGGTTGATGCCTGCGCTCACAAGACTGTGACACTTTTTCCTAAATGACATAAAATCTACTCTAAAAACCTGGCTAGCATTATATATTATGTTATAATGTATAGAATAATACAGTTGCAATGATATAGCTTCTGAGACACTGAACCCCCACACTCACGTTCTGAAATCTATAGCATAACAATTTATTTTTCTGTTTCATTAATTAATAAAAACAACATGTTACTGGCTGAGTTAACCATTTATATTAGACTGTAATGTGCAATAATGAAATTATACACACAAAACAAAATTTTCCTGGATATTTAACTTTTTCATGTGTTTTCCATGGAAATTGGTCAGCTGTTTTCCAGGTTTTCCAGGACGTGAGGGACTAGATCTGAACAAGACCTGATTCAGTCTCGGAAGAGTCTCTGAGGTCTTGACTCCCGCCCTGACTCCCGCCCTGACTCCCGCCCTAACTCCCGCCCTGACTCCCGCCCTGACTCCATCTTCCCACTCACCAACTGAAACTTCTTGAGCGAAGGCCAGAGAGATGAGGAGCAGCGGCAGGCCCACTGCCACACAGGTCACCATCTTGTCCACAGCCAGCTCAGTTCGGACGCTGCGGTATCGAGTCTGGCTCTGGTCCTTCAGCAGAAAGTCGCTGAACACATACTCTGTAGCCACGTGGGCGATGGCCATCTCTCCGCTCTTCTGTTACCTGCAGCACATAAAGAACAACTCCCGACCTGTGGACGCAAAAATCAAGAGAGACTTTCATTCATTCATTCATTCATTCGACATTATTACACTCCGCACTGTATGAAGGGCCTTTTGCCTTTTTGCCAGGCAAATTTAATTTGTGAATGCAAAGCAAGGTGTCAGGTGAACAGCTGTGGCAACTTGGCAAAGAGGCGGGTAAAGTACAGGAGACAATAGACCTTTTTCACAGCAGTCATTTTGATGTGAGATAGGAGAGTAAATTAAGGTTTTATGGTTGTGTTCCACTCAGGTCAAATAGAGTCAGGGTGCTGCTACACTAAATGGAACTGAGCCTTAATTAGTATCATTTGTAACACCTGTGTTTACCCGACCATTTCATGTCAAAAAAGCTGCTGTGAAAAAGGTCTATGACAGACTGGTGGCTGGTTCTTTCAGCAACTTGCTTGCTCTACTTCCTTATGCAACTTTACAGCTAATCAAGCCTGAACGAGGCATTACTTTGTTAGTACGAGATTAAGAGTACTGTCTTAATCTTGTGTTTATAGAGTTAAATCAACATGTTATAATATAAATTCAATGATGGGAAATCTTTTTGTTATTGGTTCCATCTCTTACTTTTGTTCACCAATAACAATATTTCCTTATTTAACTTTTCTCTTGTGTATTATCACTCTAGCTTCAAAGCATGGTTCCTGAAAACACGATACTTGTACCTTGTACCTTTAACATTTGATTTTTCCACATTTATAATATGTGTATTGCTTGATACTCAACCAAAAACTGCTAAAATACTGTGAACGACTGACAGGTGGTTTAACTTCTCACCAGGTATGTTTGCATTGATCTAATATTTTTGAAACTCTGGTTGAGTCTGTTTATATAACCTAATTAGATTCATAGCTTCGTACTTGCTTCCTATTCTTAAAACTCAAGCTGCAATAGTCAATAGTGCTTAAATCTTTCCCAATGTAACCTCAGCTCAAAGCCTGAAGATCCCCTTCAGACATGTATTAGGGAATAAATAGAAAGAGTATCCTTGGAACAATAAAGTCAGTCTGGTGTTTTTTCCTGCAAAGAAAGTATATTTTCCACATTAAAACCCTTAAAAGTAATCTAGTCCTTCGCCCTCTCTGTCTCCTCCTTCAGTCGTTTTTAAACTGTGTTCATTCAAGGTCTGTCGTCTAACGTGCATGCTGGTTAGATTTGTATCCGACCAAATGCCGACTTGCTCTGACGTAATGCGCATGTAGTCAACTGTAACCTCAAGAGATCGAGATGAACACAGCTTTTAGAGCCGGGCGCCATAGTTGCAAGACCCAGGGCATGATGGGAAATGCTGATTGGCTCTTAGTTTTAATCACAAACAGCACGTTTGCCTAATTTTCTGTGTGATGTTAATACTTAACTCCAGACTGTTGCTGTTTCAAGTCTCATGTTGTGCAGTGAAATCTGTTAACGAACACATCTGGTGTGATTGATATTAATAATAAAGTTTATCTATGTATCCAAATGTGGTCTGCAAACTACAGGCAGCCTAAAGATGTTTTGTGTCTTCCTGTATATTCTCAGAAGGCTGCTGTCGCTGCCTCCTGCTGCCATCGCCCGACCTCTTCCACTTTCACTCTTAAAGGGGAACTCGGCAACTCTAGCCATTTCTTCGCTTTGGGGGTGGGGGGGTCACCATTTTCCACCGGAACAGGCCATTTAACCATCAAATGATTTCTAAACGGGTTTATTAAGCTGAAAAAGTTGCCAAGTTCCCCTTTCAACAGCCTATTGACCTTTAAACTATTGTGATGTCACAAATCATGCTCGTAGACCCGCCTTTTAAAAATCTGATCTGCACAGAGAACTTTCCACTTTCAACAGATGAATGTGAAAACATCCTTTAGTGTCAAACTCTGCACAGACATTATTCTGCACAGTGGAGATCGAACATCAGACTGTACGAACACGAAGAAAACTGATTTTTGGCTGAAGGGGCGCTTTAAGTAATAGTAATTATTAGGCATAAACTTTATGTTTTTTACTGATGGTTGTTTGCCTAATGTTGTGGTCACCAACCAGTCATCCCCACTTCGTGTGCTTCTAGGAATTCCTAGAGGTTAGAAGTGGTTGAACATGTGCTTATTTATAAAAACCAAGGTTGAAAACAACTCGTGACAGTCTTCCCACAACACCAACAGGCTCCTTTGTTCAGCTGTTGCTGGATGTTTGCAGTCATACAGAAGCATTTTCTTTAGTTAATACTATTTATTTGTTAGATTTGTTATATTATTTGCTTGGTTTGGAGGATAGTTTAACTTGGAGGAGATGTGACTGGTCAGAAAACAAAGAAGAATTTAAGAAGAAGCAGCATAAATAGACTTTAGCATCACTTTTATATAACACTGACTTCAACACAGACCGGTTGTTTGCAGGGAGAAACCGAAACTGTCGCTTATAAGTTAATAGTCACGTTGGTTAATTACAATTTATAATAAAACTGGATAATGAACTTGACCTTACCTTCCGGTCTTTCTCCCGCTACTATTGACGTGTCATGGCTGTAAACAGGTAACTTGTAGGTGTTTTCCAGGCCTGGCGCTGAATGATGTGGCGGAGCAGACATTCAACAGATGAAACTACAAACACCACTTTCGACTCTTCTTCCTGTAAGAGACAAAACTCCTTCCGCCTGTCTTTAATAACAGATGCCTTCAGGTGCAAAGCGACAGCTCGGATTTTACAGCATCGATGCCGCCTTCAAATGCAGCTCGTGAGTTTGTACTTTCGACAGGCAAGTGATGCCTTTAAGGGTTGTGTTTATATAGAAAGGGTTGGGAGGGTTAATCCGATACAATTACTAATTACCTCTTTAAAACAATGTTGTCATAACCTAATCCAAGTATCACAGTATTAAAGTAACTTTAAGTAACTTTCCGTTACTTTTAGATGACCTCAACACCAAATACGCAAAAAAGACAAGAGAATATATATATAAAAATATATAAATAAATATTAATAAGAAGCATTGATATAAGACAACAGAACAATATAACCTAATAAGATTTTTTTATTTCAAAAAAAGAGATTTTAAAATTGTAATCCCAATATTGTAATCTAAATGTAACTGTAATCTGATCAGGTCTCTTTTTCTGTAACTCTAATGGATTACAGTTACCTTTTTTTGTATCCTGATTACATAACTCAGTTAGATGTAATCTGTCACTCCCCAAGTCTGCACATAGACCGTTAATTCATTTAGTTTTAGACTAATTACTAAACATGATGTTGAAATGCAGAAAATCAGGAAATTACTATTTCGGGAAACTGAACAAAGAAACATGAGTTTATTGTCAGCTGTAAAAAATAATAAAAACCACATCAATGACGAGCACATTGTGTTCTCGACTTTCAGTGTTTAAAGTACAACCTTATTAAGTTATTCTTTCTTTACTTTCTTTATCCTTGTCCCCTCACAACAAAACATACATAAATAATAAAACATATAACACGTATAAAAAGACAATCAAAGACTTATTCAAGGTTTTCTATTTTATTTTGTAATTATACGACACAGGACTGTAATTGTATCGTTATACAGATAGATCATGTATAAACAGAAATATTTAAATTAGAATAGAATATTAACAATAAAATTGGACAAACTATAGAAAAGTAGCAGTAAAGGAAGAAACAATTTTTTTTTTTTTTAAATGTATTATATATAGAATATATACTATATATATTTTCCTTAAAGGTTAAAGCTTTTTACTGACTAAATAAGGATTTCATAAGAATACTGTCTATGTGCTCTGTTTGAAAAGTGTCTGTAATGATTTGGCAAATAAAATGTATCTGAACTCAGATAAATATTTGTATATTTATATTTAACAAACCTAAGACAGAATCCCTCGTTACTGCTCACAAGTTCAGATTTCTTCATTTTAAGGGATCATTAAGCTAAAAGGTTGCAAACGATGTCCTGAAGGAAATATAGTTCTATAAAGAGCTCTGAGGCCTTTCTCATTTCCCAGTTTGTACATCCTCGTCTCCTCATCTCCTTGTCTCCTTGTCTCCTCTCCTAGTGTCACAGAGAAGAGAGGCCTCTGTTCTACTGGTAGTGCCTTGGTGGTGACTATTATATCAATTATTATTTATATATATATATATATATATTACATATCAGGGCTTGTTCTTTGAGTGACTGTCTATCAATCAGTCCCAGCTGTGCTGTTCACTACTTTTTCTCCCACTTTAGCTCCAAAGGCTGAGCTTGAAACTGGTGTTGGTGAGCAGTAAAACCCAATTAGCTTGAGAAGAAACTGTGTCAACTAACGTCTGTTCTGTCTCCCTGTGGCAAATAAGTCAGTTACAGCAGCGGCTATGGGCAAGTCAGCACAAGTGGCTCAGCCGTGCTTAAAACGGGCTTTCCACTCCTGTGAGAGGCTGGTTGAGTTAAGGTGTGGGTTTTCAACCACAGCAGAACAATCCTTTGATACAACTGTCAGCTGATGACTTTAGTTGACACCATTAATGTGTTGGAATTTAATCTCAAGACGGATTTGCATCAGTCTCCTTCACACAAATTCAATGTTCAGATGTTAGAAATCAGTAGAAATTCACCATTGAGTAGCCTAAAAACACAAATCTGGTTTACTGTGAAGTCAAAATCATGATGTGCTAATGTCGACAACTCTCAACCCTCGATTGAATTAGTTAATCTTAGAGTAAACAGCTGGCCTGTTAGATTTACTGGAGAGCACTGGGGGATTTCTCTCTCTGATTGTGATATATTATTTCCAACAGTCCGTAAAGGCAGCATCCTCCTGGGCAGCGTGACTATCTACGCAGCATGCAGCGACCTCGGATCACAGAAGAGACTCATTATTGATACTTTATGTCTTTAAACTGTGGATATAAATACAAATCATGATCAAATAAAACATCAGTTTGGATCCATCGTTCACACCTACGTTTGGTTTCTAGTTATTGTGTAAGACTGGTGAAGAGGGGTTACAGGAAATTCAGTATGGTAGTTAATTGTGGAAACATTGGACGAATAAAAACCAAAACCATTTTGAAATGTTTTTGATGGTCTATCGCACTGAATTCTGGGCTTTCTCGCTCTGCCCTCCCTGGTCCTCCCAACTTCTCGCAGCTGCGTCAAGTTGCTGTAAAAGATGAGCAATGAAACCAGAAGAGGAAGGTTTGTTAGTCTAAAATAAAAGCATCACAAAAAGGAAACAAAAACACATGTAAACATTGTACTGTTAAACATTAAATACATGTTTTATATATATATATATTTCCTTTTATTAAAACATGGGTATTTGTCAGTGGTAAGATTTAAGAAGTTGAGAATATGTTTTACAATACAAACACAAGACTTTATGAAGGCGACTGACTCAACATCTGCTCAATATCTCCTCATGATTTTTCTGTTGATAACTTCTATTAAATTGACAAAGACTACTAGTTTTGTTTTGTAAGAAGATAATATTGTTTCAGTTAGTTTTTTTCCATAATGTCTAGTTTTAATTAAAAAAAATACATTTTAAAGCAAAACTCATGAAAAAAATATAGTCTTTATTGATCCCACATTGGGTAAATTCACTTGCTACAGCAGCTCCAGATACAGTACAACTTGTATGTTCACTATATACAGCTCTTTATATACAGATGTGATTGATATGGAACATTGCACACAGTAGATGAAAACACAATGATTCCTAAATTCAGGTGAT